CTATTCAATCCTAAAGGCCTAATCCAAACTCTGCTGAAATAAAAGTCGTTTTTTGAAAGGCTGAGAACATTTCAACCACTTAAGCAGGCTTAGAAGCAAGGCCCTAAAAGGTTCAACTAGATCTGCCCCCACGCACAGCAAAACAAGGTCTGTAGCTTGCTATTTCTGCAACATAGCAGGTTTTGCCTAGACTGCCTTATACTGCAGGTCCTACTACTTCTTCTCCTGTGTGCTGCTCTGCAGGGGGCAGAAAGCATCTCTAATGTAGAAGGAACCAGGTTTTTAAAAAAAAGAGTGCAACATTCAATATCGATATTTATGTAACTGGGAAAATATTGCTTATGAAGCAGAAGGTAAAGACTGCACCATATGAAATATGTGGGATAGGCCTTTCCTTGATAAGCAGGGTAGCGTCATGTACTTAAAAGATTCTCCTGGGTGGAGCTGAGTGGGGGAGCTCAGTTTTGCTATGTCCTGCTTTCCAAACGTGCACAAACCTAACTCTCTGCTCTTTTTTTGTGGGTCCAGATGAGGCAGTTCGTAAGGCAAGCAACAGCCAGGCCTTCTGGCTTTTGGCTTTATGAACTTTCCTACATTTATTCTATGGGAAAACAAAGAAGAGAAGTATCTGGAGCTGGACCTCCTTGGCTAGCCCGAGGAGTGGGGTGGCAGCCCTTGAAGAGGTCCCTGACAGTGGCTGCACTGCAGCAGTCGCAGCAGCGCTGTGCTTTCTGCTGCCCTTTGCTTTGACCCAGGCACATCTCTGCTTCTGGAGGGAAAGCAAAGCCCTCTCGAAGGGCTATTTCTGCTCCCAGGACCCTTGTGCTGCCCCGGCTGTCCTAGCAGCTGCCCACTGAGTGCTCCTGCCTTTCATATCCTCTTCCTCTGCTTGCATAGTCTGCAGCTTGTATTTCGCCTTTTTTTTTTTACTGCAGAAAGGCCTCCCCGCCTAATCTAATTGCTGCTCCTTTGTCACAAGCAGATGTCACTTTTACATCTGTGCGTCTGCTCCAGCGCCCTGTCTCCTCCAGCCCCGCAGATGTTCCCGCCGCGGAGGCAGCAGCGCGGAGGGAAAAAGCAACGCGCAGATCCCTCTGCTGGCGGCGGCTTGAACGCCACGGCCGGCCCGCTCCCCTTTGCGCGGCGCCCTGCAAAAAATAAAATGAAATTTAAAAAGGAAAAATGAACAATAAAATCAAAAATGATTGCAATTTCCCCCCACGCCGAATGGTCACGAAGCAAGAGCCCGGCAGCGCACCTCGCGCACCGCCGGCCCGGGCC